GAGAGAGAGAGAGAGGAGAAAGCTATATTATATTGTTAATTTATTTATCTATCAATCATCCATCTATCTATCTCACTGGACTCTAGTTGACGATCCTAGTTCGATTCCCAACTCGCCTTTCAGAACAACTGCACAATCAACCCCTTACTTTACTACTAAGATGCTGTATCCATCTCAGTTTGAGTTGGTCCTGACATGTAGGGTCGAAGCAGTCCGGCCTCTAAATAATGTAAAAATGGTGTCGATGGAGACATAACACTACAAACACACTCATGTACACACTACACACAACATCTGTCTCAACCTCGTTGGCGTTCGACTGTTTTTTGTTTTTAGTTTTAGTAGAGGTTTTATGGCACTCGCAACTGCATAAGGTCATATATGAGCGCGCGAAACACAAAGAAGATTAAAGGTGTCACAAGAGAGTAACAAACACAAAAAAGAGGGGGAAGCTAAGGACAATAGATGATTGAATGATAGAAAAGATAAAGAAGAAGCAAACCACACCAGAGAGCACCCGCCAACCACCCACCTATCCTATATGATCTAAAATGTTTCCATGGAGTATAATAAGTAGCCTATAACACCTACATTTTAAAAAAGATGATTAAAATGAAACTTGCGCATCTGCTGGGAACCACGACTTTGGGCACAATGCTATTATTGTTGTGAAGTTCAGCTGCCTCCTAAGTTATCTACATTGTGTCTGTTGTGAGGTAAACTCTCAGAAATAACTGACATATTTCCACAACAGACAGGCAGGCACGCAGAGACATATGCAGACAGACAAACAAACAGATATTACACAGCTTTATTACACACACAACCACACAAATGTGCATGCCCGCACACATACGGAGAGAGAAGAGAGAAAGAGAGGAAATAGAGAGAGAGAGAGGAATGAAAAAAAAACCGGACTTTCTTCAGCTCTTAAAAGAAGTTCACACACAAAAAAACACTTCTCAAACACATTAAACAGCTTTTATTAAGTCCGGTCTTGAAATCTATTCAAATAACAAAATCATTCAAACAAATCTACAATACTAAGGATAAAAAAGATGGGGGAAAATAAGCCTAACATTTCAACTTATGAGTTTATGAGTTCATAATCTCCTCATGAAACATACTGATCCAGAACATTCAGTTGAAAAATTGTAATCTTTCACTAATAATATGCACAAAGCACAGATCAGATGTAGACACATACAATCATATAATATAAAAAACAAACACTCATGAACACAATATATATATACAGTGGGGTCGGCTTAAACCCAACATAATTAACCCTAAAGCAGGGGCAAACCAAAATAAAATAAAAATCTCAAACTTTTTTTCTTCTATTTGAGAAAACCAAATACCTGGCCTAACTGAAGAAAATCTGGAGATCCAGAAGATTTTGAATTAAGCAAACTCCACCGTATATATAAAGTGTTTTTTATACACACATATGCACAATGAATCCATAGTAAGTAGTAGTAAACCTTTGGCTCAGCTACTGAGCATAAGGGGACTAAACAGCGCATTGGAGTAGGAGGAAAGGGCTATCACAGGCTCACTGAGCCCTGTAATGTATCAAGTCGTTGCCTATTACTAAGGGAAAGCAATAAGAAACGGTAGCTCAGTTCAAGAAATTTGTATTTTGTTTTGTTTTTGTACGAGTTTTACGGCGCCCGCAACTGCATAAGGTCATTATATATGAGCACGCGAAACACAAGTTGGTTGCATTCGCAACAGTTCACTGCACGCCTGGGCTCGGGTCAACTATCAGATTTTAAAATGTTAAAATTTGGTGTAAATATATTTTAAATTTAAAATAACTTTTTAAAATAACATAAAAATTTTAAACAATTTTATTTCATTTTATAATTTCCCATAAAGGCTAATGGCCTTCATACAATCCAGAATTCTGTTGGGATCAACGATGGATAACAGATCTTGCTATTTTTTGCATAAAAAATATTCACTTCAGGTCTCTCCCAAGTCTAGACATTCTGTTAAAATGTGTCTAATTACTCTAATGGTAAAATTGTGTCGCATCCGACACAGAACGGCTTCTCATCTCCCCGAAGGAGGTATTCATGTGTCAGGGACGTGTGTTCAATGTGTAATCGAGTAAAAATGACTTCGTCTCTTCTGGAGAGGCCCGAAGGATTTCGTGGTCCCAGTTTGGGCTAAATGTTGCGGAGTTTATTGTTTGTGTGTTTTTTCAAGTGGGTCTCCCACAGACTGGATGTATAGTTTTTTTACTTTATTTTTAAAGCAGTCAGTGGGAGAGTGTTCGTCGTTGCTCCCAACAGAAGGGATAAGGATTCCTTCGTCAGGTGATCTACCTGCTCGTTTCCCCGGATGCCCACATGGCTAGGTAGCCATGCTAGCTCGATATTTTTCCCGGGTTCAGCTAAAGCGTGTATTTTTTGTTGATAGGATTACCAATACGATTACGCAACATTACATTTTGTTTTGGTCAAATTGAATAGGCTTACAAAATACTGTATGAACTATAATATAAAATGTGGTTTACTCAGTTATTTTCAAAACCCTTTTCCTCATTAAAAAAAACCCCCAGTGAATTTTCTGATAGTTATTCTTTCATTTTTTTCCACGGTTATTTACGGAAAATGGAAGGTTTGGTGAGACAAAAACACTGCTACTTGAAAAATATTTACTATTATCCATCATGCTTCAAAAATGCAAGAATTTGCTTTAGTATTTACCTCTAGATCTAGCCAAGTTATTTTCATGCTTCAAAAAATGCAAAAGTATGCTTTAGTATGTACCTGTAGCTAAATTACTCTCCTCTTGTGAGGTAGGTAATGAGGTGAAGCACCTTGTGACTTCAGGTGACTATTCTGACAAAGGACATGTTGTAGTCATGGATCAGTTCTATACCTCTGAGACACTTGTGGAACACTTGTATAGATGCAAGAACACATGTGAAACAGCGTGGTGGAAGATACCAATTTAGAACTCAATATGCCCAAAAACTTGATGAGAGCCTGATTCCACCACGCTGCCACACAACATATTATGCTGTTGGCACTACACTAACAAATAGAAAATTTTACCCGAAAAGACTGGCTGGAAAGAAACAATTTTCCAACAGAGATGACTTTGATTTCGAGTGTCGTGAAAATATTTCATGCATTGCGTGGCAAGACAATAAACCAGTACACTTCATTCCAAGCATACATGATCCTGCAGAAGTGTTGACTGTAAACCGCCAAAAGAGAGACGGCAAATACTGGATGTAGTTCCAGTAACTGACTGTAAGAAAACGGGAGAAAGGATACAGCAACTTTATGGGTGGCTGTAGTGATGAGAATGATCAAGTTGTTCGACTCAACAGAGCTCGTCGTCATTAACGGAGGCCCCGAAGACAGTTCATCAAATTTTTTCTTTGGGGCTGTTATAATGCATTTGTTTTGTCAACAAAATACAGACCAGCCAATACTCCAGCCAAGAAGAAAACTTTAAAAGAAAAGCACTTTTTGGATCAAATGTGCCTGTCTCTTGTAGGGACATATCGGTCGAGCAGTGTTCGCCGCCAATCGGCTCAGGAAGTGCCGCAACGTTTCCAGCTTGTTGGACCGCATTTCCCTGAGGTACCAGAGGATGCCTCAACAAATAATGTGTTTGTATGTATAGTATAAGGTTTTACGGCGCTCGCAACTGCTAAGGTCATATGAGCGCGCGAAACACAAGTTGTTCACCTCTGCGCAAGTTCACTTCACGACTGGCTAACTAATTTACTTTAAAATGCTAAAAAGTTAAAATATTCAAATTTGGTGTAAATACATTTGTGATCTAAAACACAGTGAGTGTTACCGATGTAGTACATGTAGAATGTAAAAAGAAATAATGGTGAGATGGTATATGTTTAGGAGGGTATAGGGGACATCACGGAAACAGCTAGAAAAGGATGCTCAGGACAGGCTTCGTTGGAGTAATCTTGTTGATAGCCTGTGCTCCACTGGGAGTTAAAATGGGCAAGAGAGAGAGGTATAGGTTTAACGCCCCTATCAACACTATTAGGTTATTTAAGAGGCGGGGCCTCCGAGTTTAACGTCCATCTCCGAAAGGACCAAGCCAAATGGGAAATTCGTGTAAAGTGCCTTTACCAAGGACACAACCGCTCGAACCCCTGAACCCGCAATCTCACAATTGCTAGTCCGGTAGCCTAACCACTAGGCTACCGATGCCACCATGTAGAAAGTGTCGAGAAAAAGGGGAAGGGGGCCACAAAAAGAAACCAGATTTTTCTCACAATGAAACATTTTTACTTTACAACTTACGCCAGGATAATATATTTAGCAGTTCTCTTTATGATAATAGCATTATCAGATTTTTACCAACGATGAACAAAACAAGACAAGTTTAATTTTAGTCTGGAGAGCATGCCATCATCTCTTAGAGAAAAGTTTGAATGTAGATTATATTCGTCCTTTTTTACAAACCATGTTGTCAAAATTAAGCGTAACCACTAATTTTGTGCGGTGTGTCTTTCGACTATTTAGTTAGGACATGTTTTAGGTAAATGGAGGTCGAAGACGAAGGCCTAGCCTAAACATAGAGGGATCTACATTTGTGCAAAGTGGAACATACACTCTTAGAGCTAATGCTTTATTGAACATAAAATTACAATGTTCCCTGGACATGATTCACACCAAAAAAATTGCGATGTTAAAAAAAGTTATTTTGCTCGTTTTTGGGGTTCAGATTGACTGCCAAGTGCACAATAAGTTTTATAGCTGAAAGAAAAGTAAGTAGATTTTTACTATTGAATAAAAAGACATTCAAATGCTCTTGAAGATAAACATGATTCATAATAAAAAGGTAACAGATAAAATACTTACCATGTTGTTTTTTCTACAGATCATGTCGAGAGATCGATTTTTAGCGCTGTTGTCCTTTTGGCACCTGAATGACAACACGAACCAAGTTCCGGCAGACCAGGAGGGCTACGACAAGATTTACAAAGTAAGACCGCTGTATGACGCCCGGAACAGGTCTTTTGGTAACGTCTATTACCCCGCCCGGGCAACAACTGGCTGTTGAGGAGTCCATGGTGCCATGGAAGGGCAGAGTGGCTTTTCGCCAGTAGGCCTACATTCCCTCCGAGCCAATAAAATATATGGAATGAAGCTGTACTGCCTATGTGAGAGCAGCAGTGGCTATGTTCTGAAAAGGAAACTCTATACTGGTGCAACCACAACCCAGCCTGGGGTTGGACATGGACAACAGGTGGGGAGGGACCCCAGGGTAGGTTATTTTGATGTCGGCCATACTGTTTACATGGACTCTTTTTTTTCTCGAATTGCCAGCTATACAAGGATATGCTCACAAGTGGGACGTCGGCTTGTGGCACAATTGTCAAAAACAGAAGAGGCCTGCCAAAAGACATCACTTCCAAAGAGCACAGACTGACGCGAGGGGAATTTGAGGTGAGACAGAGAGGCGAGATGCTCGCCGTTCGCTTTTATGACCGCAAAGACGTTATGTTCCTGTCAACGGCACATACTGCTGAAGAAGTCGCGACAGGTAAAGAAAATAGAAGAACAGGAGAGGACATCGAACGCCCAAAGCTGGTAGATCAGTATAATAAATATATAGGAAGGGCGTCGACCAGTAACTCTCCTACTATGCTTTTGTTGTTTGTTTGTTTAGTATAGGGTTTTACGGCGCTCGCAACTGCATAAGGTCAAATGAGCGCGCGGGACACACCTAATACTTTTTTGTTGGTAGGAAATTTTGAATTTTGCCCGGGTGGCGGCCGAAGCCTACTCTTATCGATTTTAGACCACCAAGGGATCTTTAACGTGCGCAACTTGCACACGGGCCCTCCGAGATTTTTCGCCCTTGTCCGAGAAGGCTAGGTGCAGATCTTTCCTACCAGAAGATCAGGGGTGTGGCAGAAAGACAGCTGTAAGAAGGAGTTAAGGAGTAACAGTAGAAAGGCTGCAGAAAGAGTCAGGAGCCCAGAGGAGGGGGCAAGGAAGGTGAGGGGGTGGGGGCAGAAAGAGGAGACGAAAGCAGACGACAGAATATTGCTAGAGAGCAGGAAAGGAGGTGAAAGGAGACAATTTTAGAGAAGAAAATTTTTCGGTCGCTACCCGGATTCGAACCCGGGACCTTTGAATGAGAGGCCAACACCTTAAGGAGTAACAGTAGAAAGGCTGCAGAAAGAGTCAGGAGCCCAGAGGAGGGGGCAAGGAAGGTGAGGGGGTGGGGGCAGAAAGAGGAGACGAAAGCAGACGACAGAATATTGCTAGAGAGCAGGAAAGGAGGTGAAAGGAGACAATTTTAGAGAAGAAAATTTTTCGGTCGCTACCCGGATTCGAACCCGGGACCTTTGAATGAGAGGCCAACACCTTAAGGAGTAACAGTAGAAAGGCTGCAGAAAGAGTCAGGAGCCCAGAGGAGGGGGCAAGGAAGGTGAGGGGGTGGGGGCAGAAAGAGGAGACGAAAGCAGACGACAGAATATTGCTAGAGAGCAGGAAAGGAGGTGAAAGGAGACAATTTTAGAGAAGAAAATTTTTCGGTCGCTACCCGGATTCGAACCCGGGACCTTTGAACGAGAGGCCAACACCTTAACCTCTAGGCCACGAGAGCCCCCTGCTATGCTTTTAGTCGTAAAACGTTGAAGTGGTGGAAGAGGATGGCTACCCACCTAATTCACCTTACCAAGGTTCAGGCCGACATTTTATACACCAAATTCAACACGAACAAAATGACACAGGCACAATTCACAGTGGCCCTCACTGAGCAACTTGGTCCTGTGGTTCCAGCTCAAGACCAAGAATGAACCCGCAACTACAACAGAGATGCCCCAGCAACACCGAGGCCTCAGACACGCGTGGATCCTCTGGATGCTCCACGCTTGTCCAACCCAGGATATATGCATTTTCTGGAGAGTATCCCGTCAACCGAAAAGAAAAAAAGCGCTAACAAAAAAGAGCAAATGTTGTACCGTGCCAGGGCGCGCTCACAACACTTTTCTTCGCCTAAAGGTAACAGGGTATCAGTGTTCTGACGGCAAAGTGCCCTAGTGCATAGAGCCCTGCGTCAGGATCTACCACACTTGCAAGGACTTCAAACGGGAAGTCAGGCAACACTACCCATTGTGAGCCTTTCAGCCAAGCCCCTTTCCCCTGCTTTTTTTCTTCTTTGTATAAAAAAGTGTTTTTTTCTCCATTTTTTAATATTTTTTTATCATAATCAATTTTTCAAAGAGTATCAGTGTTTTCAGTAAATGGTTTGCTCTGCTGGATTTTATACCTTCATCCTTATTATGGAACAGTGTAATATTGGGTAGTCCAAGCCCCGCGCGCTGCCGATTGGAAAGCTCGGACGTGACGGAGAAAAATGCAGATTTTCGCATGTTTAACCAAGTCATTTTTATGTCTTTTAATTTCAAATTTGGCCATAAAAATGTGCCCACATTGATCGGTAACATTTCGTCTGTTATATCAATAAGTTTAAATCTACTTTTATTTAACTTTAAACCCATTTATTGGGTTTTGAAGTGAACCAGTAAAATGCAAATAGACCCAGGTTGGCGAGAGCAAAATCCGTGATTTTTGTCATAGATATTTTTTAATCATCGATATCTCGGACCTGGAACGTCGGATTTCTTTGCGGTCTCGACCATAAAAATCTGGAAAAGCTGCTATACTTCCGGATGAAACCTTTTTCTCGTTTTGCTTTCAGGATCCCTTACGAATGTTCGTGTAAAGTTTTGAAAGTGTGATTTATCATGGATTTTGGACTTTTTTTTCGAAAAAAACGCTCCACAGTCAGATGCAGCACCCTTTTATCTACAAATGTGTTATGTTCAAAACGTAATAGAACGCACCAGGATGGACTGAGATGATCGAGTTTAAGACTACGTAAAGCTACTTTGCCTGGACGCGGCCAAGGCAACATGGAGAATCCCGCTGTTCTACCAGCCGGAGCGAGTTTCGGCCAGGATTCGGGTGAAATGCAAAACGAGACATCGCTAACTGCTTCTAATTTAAACTGGACTCATCTGATGAAAACATGTAAGTATTTATCATAAAGAAGTGTTTGTTAATGAATTAATGTGCTGTTTCTTAAACAAATAGATGCCTAGAAGATTGAAGTGCTATTCCATCATTGTGTCTGACGATGACGGTGAAACCAGAGCTTGTTTTCATCCTGACGTGATGGAATAATTTTATGATGAAGTTTAAATTGTTTTTCTGTGTAATAATTGGTATCAAGGATTATATTTTTAACATGTCTGCAAAATGTCAAAGTACTTGGACATGAAGAATAAGCAAAACACGAGCGGAATGACTTGGCCTCTGGTGTGCTATTTTTAGCGATGATAATCTCTTAATAAAAGTCGACATATGATTGGCTGTTTTCATTGGGTTTTCCTGTCGAGAGTAGAAACATAAACAACAAACTTAACCTGTTGTTCATTTATATGTTTTATAAGCACCCCTAGATCTGTATGTTAAATCTCCTACTAAGCCTATCTTACAAAATATCTTGACATTTCAATCGACAGGTGATCAATATGCTGCAAGGAAGAGCCGCTTTCTGATGAATGGGAAAGGATGATGCCCTAAAACCTACCCTCTGTCGGTTTGACAAACCAAGTTCTGGCTCAGCTGTTCTTAGTCAGAGAAGGACAATCAACATGGGGCCATGTAAGTAGATCATTAACCTCTCCCCCCCCCCACCCCCTCTTTTTTAGCGGGTTGGGAGGAACTGCGTTAGCTGTATCATTTATCTTACGGTTTATCTATCCTGTAAAGTGCCTTCGGGCCGTGGGAGCTTCTGCTCAATTTTTATGTGAACTTGTGTGCTAAAAAAAAATGCCTGGGCCACGGGAGCTTCTGCCCAAATTTTGCTGTATGCACCTAATAATATTACGCTTTGGAATTCCTCAGAGCTGAGATTGCTGCCCAGTTTTTATAAATTATAACATTTTATACATAATATGATCTTGTTGTAACTTGTACTTGTTGAAAAATAAATAGATTCACACTGCGGGAGCTTTTGTCCAATTTTGTATGAAGTACCGGTACTTATTAATATCACAGCAAACTCTAAAGAATTGAATATATGGTCTCTTCCACAGGTTCTATCCTGGTTCTTGGAGTTATTTCCAGATCAGATTGTGACTGAGGGGCAACTGCAACACAAGATTGAAGCCAACAGGAAGAAGATGACAATCAACCAGAGCTACAAAGCCGCAATTTCACAATTACGAGTCCGGTAACCTAACCTCCACCACCTATTCTTGTCTTTAAAATAAGGACATATATATATTACTTTGTATTATATTTGTATAAAGATACAAATATTGGTGACTATAGATCTTTAATAGAAAAGTTCAACAAAACAACTAGATCTATTCCTGAGTCGTTTGATACTCGTATTTTTTTCATGAATATTGTCACATATGTCTGCTTTTCTCAACCAAAAGAGCATGTAGCCATTTCTTGATAGAAATGTTTTTAACTGCTTTGCACAGGTCTTGAAATGCTGAAGATTTTGATATAAGATTTGTTATTATAGCTTCATTAGATCAAAAGTTATGGTCTTTTAAATACTAAGGAAATGTCCGAAAACTGCAATTTTCTGTCGACGCGTGATTTTTTCCTTTTTGCCAACTTGAACGTGGATTATTGTTAATTCTGTACTTGTGTCATGTCTGAAAAAAATTGAGCTTAATCTTTGTGTTCAGGGGTGATGATCCATAAAGTAGGAACTCTGTGTGATGCCTCATTCTTATACTGTGAAACTCTCAAAATGGTCTCGGAGCCAATGTGTTACATTTTTTGTGTGAAATGCCTTGATTTTTCACTTTTACATCAGGCCTAAATTTCTTTTTTTTTAAACAATTATATAAGAATTTCTTTGAGTTTTTTAGAATACCATTGTCCTAAGCTTTAGAGAAATATAAACATTTTGAGTTTCAGATAATTTTCTCTTATGTTATTCATGTTCAAAGCTGGCAGAATTTGGACTTTCTAAAAATGTCCTTGAAAATTCTAAGTTGGAAAATCTTTAAATGTTTGTGACTTTTTAATTTATGAAGATAATTTGATCTGGTTTTTTGCATTGTTCCTTATGTGAAAAGCAGTATCTAAATAAACACTGTATTTGCAATTTACAACAGGTTTGAATTTTTGGTTTGTACTACCTACTTTTAACCAGATAGTTTTGGCTGAATATGAATTATCTCCTCTTTATCCATTTTATCACAAAGTCACTGTGACAGATTAAGTGCCCCCCCGGCACAATATTTGAAACAACCCTTCAAAAATCAATAACTTTGATTTTCTGGGTTACAATCACTCAGTGTCCTATGTGCTAACTAAAATTGTAACAAACAACCAATCAAAAAACACCTTTGTGTCACATGACATTGCAGGGTCAGATCTTCAGCCACTGTACGGAACGGAATGTGATTGGCCCCAATGGACTTCTGTGTCATATTTGATTTTAAAAAACACAGCAGAAGTCCATTTGACAGTGTGCGCCGGCCAGCACCATTATTTGATCCTATTTGATCATGCCGATCTGGTCCATTTGACCAATGGGCGGTTTGACCAATAGTCAATTATCGATTTGACCACCGGGAATATGTTCTTACTCTGCACCCATATTGCCACATCCGACGCTCCTATGTCATATTCGAAGCAGAACCCCCAGGAGGCTGCTGAGGTACTGTGTAGACGGCAAAATCCTCGGCCAGAATCACTTTGTCAGCTGGCAGAATCTCCAACGCTTCGTCTAGCAAAATCTGGACACTTCTATCTCCCTCCTGAGGAATGCAGAAAAAACATCAGCTATTCTATAAGTAGCAGTAACTCAGAACGTGAAACGTTGCAATTGACGTAACAAGACAACAGAGATTAGACACATTTGTTCAACGCTGTCCTCTGCCAGTAGTTTTTTGTATGTGGGTCTGGGAGTTGCATGTGTGTGATGCTAAATAGTCTCACAACGTGCATTTTCTGTTTTTTGTTTGTATAGTATAGGGTTTTACGGCGCTAGCAACTTTCTGTTTTTTTACGTGATAAGTTGAGTGGTAATTATGCATTGTACAGTGGATAGACCTTCTGAGGTTTAAGCATGATAAATTCCCACTATTATTATTATTTCATTATTTTTGTTTTTTTAAAAAGGGAGCTAAAAAAGGTCCTAATGGCTAAAATGGAATTAATCAAAATCAATGCAACCCCTACTTCAACAGGATCAGTTCTAAACAGAAATGTAATCATGTCTCACATTAACACAGTAATCTACCAACTGAATGATCTTAGTAATGATGATAAGTGTCAAGCTATGAAGAGCCAATACAAGAAAAATAAGTTCATTTCGCTCTTCATGAGTAAAGTACACACGTTATAATCATTTTTCTTGCTGCAGTGAACGATGACAATACATCTCATTTACCTCAGTATTGATCCTCACTAAGAAAACAACATTATAGACTTTAGGGCATTTTTGGCACACAGTTCAGACCAATTTTCCCTGACACACTAAAAAAAATAATTTAAAGGCATGAACAACAAAACTTTCACCACGATCAGATTCTAATTTCTACTCTATGCGCCAGCTGTATTTGAACAAGACAAGTTGTGAACTTTTGGGAAAAATGTTGCAGTCATCAGGACAGGAGACAAACCATGAGCTGCCAAAAGGCGGGACCACCTCACCTTCAGCTCAGCCGCCCGTGTCTTGTACCTCTGGCTCACATGGGTGATGACCAACATCTTAACATCCAGTTCTTTTGCCAGAGTGGCCGTCATTTCTGAGGAGGAAAACACAAACTTTTACCATGTTTATAGCGTCTTAAAACAAACTTTTACTGTGATTATACCATCATAGAGCAGTGTCGTAGAACAAACTTTTATTGTGTTTAGAGCGCCGTAGAACAAACTTTTTCTGGGGTTATAGCTTTGCAGAACAAACTTTTATTGTGTTCATAGCATTGTAAAACAAACTTAAACTGCGTTTATAGCATTGTAGAGCAAACTTTTACTGTGTTTATAGCGTCATAGAACACCTACCATACCATCATCAGCTTTTGACAGAAAATATATAGCATCACATCAATACATAACCCAACACATCACATTCCCCCCCCCCCTCTTTTAGTGTATCCTTTTTTTCTCCCCCTCCCACTCATTCACTCACTCCTTCCCTTTCTATTAACACATTAAATGGTAATTCTATGGATAAACATGAGGCATACACCAAATGAAAGTAATCAACTTCTCTGAGAGAAAATTAAATTCATATCACTATATACATAAAAAGAACTTTATACAACTTTCTAAACATGTTCTTTAATGGATTAGCCACCTGTTAATTAAAAAAAAATAATCTGAACAATGAGTAAAGGCGAAACGGAACAGACACATTGAAGCGTACAGCTTAGGCCTAGATACATCCTCTCTATATCTATCAGCACATGTGGTTTGTGACAGGGAGGGTAGATCTAATGGTAAATGGGCCTGTTTGCAAGAAGCTCAATTCAGATTATTGATCAGCAATTCCCGAAAGCCAGACGTACTTTCGAACAGGCTTAAACTAACCATCAGCAAGTCAAGTGGGAAACAAGTTTTAATTTGAGATTGAGTCCCTGAGTAGGCCTGAAATCCAGATCAATCCAATTACATCCAAGTACAGTATAACACAGATAGGTCAAACATAGAAGAGTCAAAATCACGCAGCTATCGAACTGTGCCTGCGGTCCTGTTTTTTTATTCTTTATATTTTTAAGATATCCCTCGAACTACGGATCCATCGAACTACCGAGGCAGGTCCCGACGAGTCCGAGCTATCCGTGCCATGCCATACTGTAGTTAATCTTTAGTTTAGTTTTAGTAAGAGTTTTACGGCACTTGCAACACAATAAGGTCGTATAAGTGCCAAAGAATTGATGTGTTACAAGAGAGTATCAAACACCAAAAAGAAGGAGAGAAAAGCATGATAGATGTTTAATAGGAAAGAAGAAGCAGACCACACCACAGCATCCGCCAACCACCCGCTGGTTAATCTGGAAATATCCCAGATTATGAAAATCTAAGTTGACACCCAGCACTACACCCCTCCCCCCCACATACACACACAAACACTCACCAGGCGTGGAGTGGCCATTCTGCACACACTGCTCCCACAGCGAGTTCTCCAGCGTGGCTTCATGCACCAAGACGGTCGCCCCGCGGGCCACTTTGTTCAGCTCGCTCGAGTCGCACGAGTCACCGGACACCACCACCGTCCGCCCGGGAATGGAAGGGCCCACAACCTCTGATGGAGACACCTGGGATAAGGATACGTAGACAAAAATATTGTCACGACGCACTGGAATCAGGCACCATCAGTTCTTTGGCATGTGGAGTTATTGGTATTAACATACAGCTTGTTCATTTGTCCATCCTTCGATGAAAAAATACCCATCTATCTTGAATAATAGAAGTCGAGATATTTGAGATTGAATGAGGCAGGGTTGCCTGGTTTCAGAGGTAAAGTTAGCGAGAAAACGGCCGACAAAGTTTGGTCATTTCCATAGCTTCATAGTCCTTGGAAACTGAAAATTTACATTTTTTGTGCCTTTAATCAAAGTTTTTCCTCTAAAATCCGCACAAAAATCTCTTTTTAAAATGACATAAAAAGTGTTGCGTCAAAAAAAAAAACAAAAAAAAATTTGATGAAAAATGCCAACCAGTGGAAAAGTGCCAAAGATTTCATGTATTATATAAGACAGTAACAAACACAAATAAAGAGGGAGGAGAGATAAATGATGATATCAAACATCTATCCCCCTCATCCCTCCTCCTTTACTTCATATATATATTACTCTCTAGTAACACCTCTAATCTTTGGCACTTACATGACCTATTTGTGTTGCAAGTGCTGTAAAACTTACTGAAATAAAACATACGAGAAGCCAAAAATAAAAAGTTTTTACCATCTGTCCATTTTCCAGGGAGATAGCTTGGCCAGCCTTCAGTTTTGCGTACAGTGGTCCGGGGGGCACGCCCATAGCCTTGAGCTTGGAGGCATCAAGTCTGAACAATAGATTGGCCATAGTCAGTGAGAGAGAGAGAGAGAGAGAGAGAGAGAGAGAGAGAGAGAGAGAGGGAGGGAGGGAGGGAGGGAGGGAGGGAGGGAGGGAGGGAGAGAGAGAGAGAGAGAGAGAGAGAGAGAGAGAGAGAGAGAGAGAGAGAGAGAGAGACAGACAGACAGACAGAGACAGACTGACAGCCAGAAAGAGACAGAGAACCTGTCAGACAAAGAAAGACACACAGAGAGAATAGAAAAAAGGAGCAGGCCACATCAGAATCAGAGCACCGACAACCACACACAGCATAAATTCAGCACAACACTTTAGTGCTCCGAGACAGGTACAACATAATTTGATAGTTAATATTTAGCAATCCATTTACATATTTAGATCATATTATAGGAGGCTGGCTGCTTCAACTCTGCCCATCAGGGCCAAACTGGGCTGAGTAGGAAACAGTGTCTCAGCAGAAGGATAAATTTCCCCCTTCCGGAATCAAACCCAAGTCTTTTGTGAGCAATAGCAAAGGGCTTCAACACTGCACTACAGACTAGATGCTGGTGAGCAGTTAGAGAGCCAGCACACAGACAAGATGGACTTCATCCATTCTAAAATTTGTAGCCTACATTGCTTTGTATGATGTGGGCCAATGGCCATAAACACTGAATAAAATACCTTCCTACCTACCTACTCATAAGTGACAAATGCTAAAAAAATCAAAGTGAAAACGGTTCATACACCTTAACACTTTGCAGTCACACAGCCAGCAATACAAAATACCCTATCTGGTCACCCAGCCAAGAGAATGACTTCTTGGGCCTGTCGCAGAACTGCATCAAGTGGGTGGAACGGACAATTTTCAGTCGCATTATTGCAAGTGATTGCAAAGTATTAGCATATAAACAAAATGTTCAAGACATGAAACAGATAAAAATGCTCACTTTCCAGATTTGGGAGACTCTTGGACGACAAATGTGAAACTGGGTACCCGATGTTTGACCCACACTGCCTTGACGGTCAGCTTCGGGTCAGAGTACCTGGAGAAACACACACAATACCCACAAGGCTTATCGTCCACATTAAACCATGAATAATTTAAAAAATTTGCAAAAGTAAAAATAAGCACATCAACACGATAACTGCCATTCAGTGCAGAGAGAAAACAGTAAGACAGACCGATAGAATATGCGGAGAAACGCACCACATCAGCAATGATTATCATCCCCATTAGGCCGTGTGTAATTTTGTTACAGTAAAGAGAAAGCCAGAGCTTTCAACCTTCCTCTTATTAAAAAAATAAATAAATGAAAATAAAATTAAGAATGGCTTACTTTCACTCAGATTTTGTTCAGCAGCTCACTCTCCCCATGTAACTTCTGTCACTACAGTTTCACTTTACTTTTCATGGAAGGGCCCGAATTCTTAAAAAAAAAAGTTTTTTTGAAACTTTCTATGCAGTCAAAGTCCCTCTAAAACTTGATTACAACAAAACACACAATTATGTTTAAAACAAACATTGCCAATATAATTATTTTGCCCTTGCTCATTTATATAAAAGTAATTGTGAATAAGACGACAAAACAAAAGGGAAAAAAAAAAACCTTGAGTAAGGCGAGTCAAGAAGAGGAACAACTCACAAGTGCCAGATTAAATTGTCATCGGGTCGGATCAGACGACCCTCTCGCTCACACGGGTGGAAGGGGACGGAGGATGGCACTTGGAGAGGCCACTCCTGTAGAAGGTAGAGAGAATAAAGACATTAACTCACTTCAGACGGGTCACACAACAGTTGCGCGACCCCCGCCGCGACGCTCGCGACGGGTCTCACAAGCCCTGCGTGACCAACTTTGGAATTTTTTTTTCGCTCTACAAATCACGCACGGATCGCGAGACCCGCCTCGTACCCTTGTTTGGCCAAGCCTGAGCTACTTAGACTTCGTTTCGTATCTCTGGGGCCGGTAGTCTTTAAGTTATTGAAGGTGAAGGACAGTGACCCCAACTGGGGTTGAACAGACCGGAACACGCGCTTTGTTTTTTTCTATACAGCTGATAGTAATCCGACAGTCGCGTCGTAGTAACGGTCGAAGAAGTCGCATGTACAAGAATCACATAATTTCGCAGTTTTCTATACTTCTGTGCGTTTTACTAGTTCTAGTGTCTCAGAATATGATGTGTCTAATAGTTAGGATCCTGGATATGTACCCGAACACGGCCCGAGTCGTAGTTCTAGGGCTAGATCTAGCACTAGTACCGGTGTTGTTTTTCTGTCTCATGTAATTCAGTGTATGGGTCTGAATCAATGCACAGACCAGCTTTTATATTTTCACCAAACACTCGCACATGTATACAAATCAAACCAAACACTCGCACATGTATACAAATCAAACCAGAACACTTTGAACTTTTATTTTTGTTGTTGCAGTGAATTTCATTCTACTTGTCACGTCTCTGGAAATTTTTCGGAAAATCAAATTCATGCCAATTTTTTAAAAATCATACAAATTAAAGTATTAGACTTAGACAACTTTAGTTTTTTGTATTAGATTAAACTTGAATGTTACTTTACTGTTTCAAAAAATGATTACAATAGGGTAATTCTGAGAGTTGTGATTTATTGAAATACCCCAAAAAACGCCAGTCTTCAACGCTTGTGACTGGTGAAATGGCCCAGTCGCAAGTGAGTTAAATTAGCTTTAGTTTTAATACGGTACGAGTTTTACGGCACTTGCAACACAATTAGGTCATATAAGTGTCGAAGATCGTGGTATAACAAGACAGTATGATACAAAGAAGACACAGAGATAATGACGATAGATGCTTGATAATAGTAAAGAAGGAAAAAAACCCACACCAGAGCACCTGCCAACCACCCAAGGAATGAAAACAAAAACAGAAACCGTGAATAACAGCAGTAATAATTAAATGCAAAACTAAAAACGATAGTCATCACAAGAAATGGTAATGGTCAAAACTAGTAAATATATATATATTAAAGATTACAATAGCTTACAAACAGCAAATAAAAGAACAAAAAAAAGCTAAGAACAGCATTTATCAAAGTTGGCAACAGCTAAACAGAGCAGGAAAAAGGTAAAACATAATGACAGCTGAATACATAGGATAGGGGCCCGTATAGATCGACCCGTAACACCAACAACTGGATACCCTCACAGAGGTAGCACACATTTGACGCTGCATGTAAATTTATATTATAAAAAGCAAAAACTATAACGACAACCAGTGCACCATCCCAGTCACTACCTTAGCATCTGCTTGTTTGAACAGGAAGAAGCACATTGAATCAAAAATTATAATTTAGTTGTGGGGAAAAAATGTGAGACAGAAATAACAGAAGGAAAGTAAAGAAGTAGGACCTACCAGAAGCGCCTTTCAACCACCTGCTTGACATCCACAACCAGCCCCCCCCCCCCCCCAAAATCAAGACACAAAGCAAGCTACTACACCATCCCCCGCACTACCTCAGCATCCAGGGGCTGCTGCTCAGGGATAGTCTCCAGCTCATGGACGATGAAGTCGAAGCAGACGTCAGCACGTGACAGGGCCAGGTTGGTACACACGAAGTGACGTAGACCCACCGGCCCGTAAATCTCCAGCGGCTCTGTGCGCAGACTGTTCTGTGAGACGGTGCACAGTAGGCCTGGGAGGCCAAATGACTAAGTAAAGAGAAGCACATCAGATCAGCACAATCAATATTGAATAATGGTCATTTTGTGTGTGTAGGGGGGGGGGTAAGTCTTCATTTTTAGTAAGTTTTATATCCCTTGCAATACAAATAATAGGTCACATAAGTGCCAAAGATTAGAGGCATTACGACAAGAGAATAACATTCAAAGAAAAGGAGGGAAGATAACGACGATGAATATTTCATAGGATAAAATGGACAAACCACACCACAGCATCCACCAACCATCATTGCACTTAGACTTAGTACTAGCCATCATAAACCAAATTTCTTCAAACAGAATCAGTGTAAGTGGTATTTCATTCAATTCCTTATCTCTTTCTAATTTCATTGCTTTCTATCAAACACATGCATTGCCGTTCAACTCTCAGTCCAAGATGCATGGGTGATATCACAAAGTCCACCTCCATGCTTTCCACTTGAGAATTGAGTTGAAAAGAACACTTGTTTCATGGCACTTTCAACACAACTTGGTCATGTAAGTGCCAGCGTGCGCCATTCAATCGTGTAACATCATATTATAGAGAAATGAAATACATTTGGCATAATTGGGGATACTAGAAGTAACTGCGGAGATTCAGAAAATAAATAAGCCCACTTTAATAATGTCGCTTAATTAATATATTATTATTATTATATATATATACGATTGACAGAAACCTCTTAACATAGCGGACACACTTACATGGTCACCATGCAGATGGGTGATAAAGATTTTGCTGATTTTCCCCGGCTTGAGTGGACTCTTCATGAGCTGAACCTGGGCACCCTCTCCACAGTCAAACAGCCAGATTCCTTCGTCTGAGAACGCGTATACAAATACAGACATCAGATTTATGTATGCACAGATTGTTTAGTAAAGTCGAAGTAGTTTTATGTCCCCATCAACAAATATTAAATCATTTAGAAATTGAGCAGCAGATAACTTTGGCTGACACCACACTGGGACATACACTCAGAAAATGCACACATTGTTTCATAGAGTTGGGACTGTTTTTTATGCCACTGTTAACACGCATAATATGGGTTTAAACAGAAATATGTTGACGAAAAAATAATGTCATATAGCTGCTTTTCCTTATATCCTATCTGATGGATTTCAGTGAAAATTACAGAAATAAAGGGAAAATGGAAAAAAATGACATCCCTGTTACAACTACACAAAAGACAGGTGTAGATCTATGTCAACTGACCATGAGACAGAGCCGTACAAGAGACACATCTCGACGGGGTCGGGTACGCTGAGGCAGTCCCGAGAAATGTCAGGGCCAAAGTGTTCATCACATCAAATCAGCAGGTGTCGCTGAATCAGTCAGCGAGGCACTTGTGAGGAGTATCTAGAGGTAAAAAAAAATGTGTGACCACTTTCTTGCTAACTCAAGTACAAGAAAGAAATTAAGAGCATCCGTGTGTGTAGATTCCCCCAACAACATTTCTCGGGTTCATGCGGGGTGCCCATTACAGCTGGATCGGGTCGATCGCCCAACTTGGTCACCTGAAACTGAAAACAAACATGTATGTTTTTGAGGCGACCGAGTCAGGCGCCCATCCCGCAGATCCCATCCGTAATCATTTTATAACGGGCACCCCGTGTATAAAATTTGGACATAAAATTTAGGCCTACCCAATCTTTGGTCATTATAATGTTATATTATAATTAGAAATCTAGATCTATACAGACATAAATATAAATGATAGATCTAGTTTCGAGGCCTAGATCTAAGATGTATGGAAGATTGCGGATGTCTTTTCGATGAACGATCGTTTTTCCTCCGTTTTGGAGTTGGAGAAATCAATTTATAAGTCAATTTGAAGAAAAGAATGTGTCATAATTTCAATCAAGCACCGATGAGTAGCGAGTAGCGAACTACTCTTCACAAGCGGACGGTTCGTTACCCGTCCGCTCGTTTGCAGGTAGTGCCAGTGAGTAGTTCGTTACTAGCAGGCGCTAATTTTGCGAGCCCGACCCAACCCTACTTACCGCGTCTGTGTCTGTAGACTTCGTGGCGATTTTGTAGTTTTGTTCGTTTAAGTCAAGAGTAGAGGGGTTTCAAGGGGGGACCTATAAAAATATGGAGGTGGGGGGCTTCAAGGGGGCATGCCCCCCTGAATTTTATCCTAATTTGAATTTTTATGTTTTACAGTTAGGTTGCATCCCTACTCTTTGTGTAGCCTATTTCAAATAGTATTTGGTCATTAAGGCTTCTGGATTTCTTCTCTGAATGTAAACAAATGGATCGTGGACTTTAACGAATGGAACTACAAGATCACAGACTTCGTGACTTTGTTCCCGGTTACCCGGTCTGTGTATGTATACACTCCCACTGTAAAAACCATGGAAGTGGCTATTCTCACCCGGGGTGAGAATAGAAATACGATCGATCTCTCACCCCGGGTGAGACTTGCCACCGTAGGCTATTCTCACCCGGTGTGAAACAAGACCTGTTTTTCCTAAGGAAGTGGCTATTCTCATCCGGGGTGAGAATAGAAAAACGATCTACCTCTCACCCCGGGTGAGACTTGCAACCGGTTTGAAACAAGATCTGTTTTTCCTCATTTCGGAATACTTTCTATCGATGTGGATGATCAAATTGATAAAAGCCAAGAAAAAATTACGTTATAGCACAAAAGTAAGCTAATTTGATCGTCTTCAAAGATGCTATGGCTATTTCACTGTTAGAATCGAGCCGAACTATGCGGGTCGCCATTTTGTTTTGCCCGGAAGTTCTCGCAAGATCTACTCCTCCCCTCTCTTTCTGAATACTGTCTATCGGTGTGGATGATCAAATTGACTACAAAGATGCTACGGCTATTTAACTTTTCGAAATCGAGCCGAACTACGCGGGTCGCCATTTTGTTTTGACCAGAAGTTCTCGCGCTACTCCTCTCTCTCTTTCTCTCCACTGCCGACAGACAAAATTGTACGCTTTTAGTAGGCTACAGTTGTAATGGAACGTTTGTTCACTGCACAGAATTCTACAATTTTTCTGTTATCACAGTGTAGAATTCTGTGGTTTAGGGTGAACGCAAAATTTGTTTGCCTAGATCTAGGCTATAACGGTGAACGCGCACCGGGTGAGAATAGCCAAAAGGCTCGCCTGCACTATTCTCACCGCGGGTGAGAATAGAGGTGGCCTTTTCCTAATTTTGGAATACTTTCTATCGATGTGGATGATCAAATGGATAAAGGCATAGAAAAGATTACGTTATAGCACAAAAATAAGCTAATTTTATCGACTACAAAGATGCTTATAGATGGCTATTTCACTTTTCGAATTGAGCCGAACTACGGGGGTCGCCATTTTGTTTTGCCCGGAAGTTCTCACAAGATCTACTCACTCGTCCCCTCTCTTCTCTCTCTCTCTATCTCTTTCTGTAATACTGTTTATCGGTGTGGACGATCAAATTGACCAAAACAAAGTTAAAAAATGATGTTAAAACACAAAAGTAAATTAAATTTGGTGGTCTACAAAGATGCTACGGCTATTTAGCTTTTCGAATCGAGCCGAACTACGCGGGTCGCCATTTTGTTTTGCCCGGAAGTTCTCGCGCTACTCCTCTCTCTCTCCACTGCCCACAGACAAAATTGTACGCTTTTAGTAGGCTAACAGTAGAAATGGAATGTTTGTTCACGGCACAGAATTCTACAATTTTTCTGTTATCACAGTGTAGAATTCTGTGTTTTAGGGTGAACGCAAAATTGGTCGGCCTAGATCTAGGCTATAACGGTGAACGCGCACCGGGTGAAAATAGCCAAAAGACTCGCCTGCACTATTCTCACCTGGGGTGAGAATAGAGGTGGCCAAAACTTAAAACCATGGTCCCGCTCTCCCCAGATTCTTCTCCATCATGCAGAATTTAATGAAGGGAGTGTATACAGACCCGGTAACCGGGAACAAAGTCACAAAGTATACAGACCAGGTAGGGGAATTCTTTTGTGATTTCGGAGAGTTTCAGCGCCATCTTGGCTCAGGGTAGACCTAGGTTCTTCTAGATCTATGGCCTAGGTGTAGATCTAAATCTAGACAGACAGACATAAATCATTGATCTAGTTTCGAGGCTAGCCTAGATCTTGGTCTAAATGAAGATTGCGGATGTCTTCTCGATGAACGATCGTTTTTCCTCCGTTTTGGAGTTGGAAGAATCGCAATCTGAAGAAAGGAACAATGTCATGATTTCGATCGAGCAGTCACCCTCTCTATTTCCAGCTGTCTCCCTCTCTCTCTCTCTCTCTCACACACACACACACACACACACACTAGATTTCTACGGGTCTGGGGGCTGAAACTCTCCGAAATCACAAAAGAGTTCCCCTACCGGGTCTGCATACTATGATACTTCGTGACTTTGTTCCCGGTTACCGGGTCTGTATACTATACTATACACTTCGTTTAATGAAAGATTGGATCTTTCTAACCAACTCTGTGATGGCCATCTCCGATGCTTGTCGACGGAAAACGAAATGACCATCCATTAGCCATGCCATATTAGATTAGGAGGGCCTATCATACATATCATCAAGATCTAGATAGATCTAGATATAGACTAGATAAATAGATCTAACCCTAACTGTCCTCCCTGGAGGTAACACTGTCACTGGGGGTGAGAAAAGTTCAATGATTTTCAAAAATCATTTAGACTAAATTCTAGATCTAGATTACCTTTTCGGATCCGTTACTTTTTTAATAATATAACTGGAACTCACTCTTCTCTCTCTGTACTTGATGAAACTGGGTGTAGTAGTGAGTGACTGACTGAACTGAATGGCGGCAGTTTCAAGAGTTTCTCACTTCTCACCACAATTTGTCAGAGTCACAATCACGCAAGTTGAAGACCAAAGTGGAAATTGACTGGAGCTTGCTTGCAGTTGCTTGCAGTTTCTTTTCCTACTCTCGTACGCTAAAAGCATGCCAGGCTTGAGAACAGTAGTCAGAATAACTTATGATTCCGACCTGTCATAATAATAATAGATAATATTATAGAGATCTATTCATTTTTTTTGTTCTGCATGCTCCCGTGTGTACATGAACACATATCACCATTACATGAACACACAGATAACATACACACACAATGATAGTAGTACACAACAAGACAAAATAATAATCAAGCAGCTATACTAAGATTAAAACTTTTCTGTAGGCTACCAAGTTCGTGACGTTTTGTCTTCAGCTTCATGTTTGGGGTGCAAGCAAGGAGGTTATGCAGTAAGGTCCTTGAGTGCAAGAGTGCTTAGACAAAAAAAAAGCCAATGTGGCAGTGCTACAATTCGAACTCTTATTAGGTCAAGATCTATAGGCCTAGCCGCTTAGTATAAAATACTAAATTGATTTGTACCCGTGGCGTTGAGAGATTGGTCTGTCTTTTTCGTGTTCAAAAATTGCTCATGAGTGTGCACTGTCAGCATTTAAAACACTGATGATAAAACTAATCTGTGGTTGTTACCACGACCCAAGAAGATCCGACCGGAGACTTCTTTTTAAAAGGGTAAAAGTGGGCCGTCTTCAATCGGAAAACTCGACCTAACATGACCTATTTCAAAACATGACCTTTAACTTTTAACCTTATCAGCTGTCAGCAGCGACCCGGCGGCCAGTGAAGCCAAGTGTGTGTACACTGTGTTGTGTAGTGTGTAGGGTCAAACAAAAGTGAAGTAGCTTGGAATGTTGGACCAGAATTGGCCTGCTCAGCCTAGATCTAGCCTAGAGAAGGAAGGAGATAAAAGGGCAGAAGAGGGTAGAACCGCAACGCGAACTATCACAAAGGTTGTACACATTGCATGACAGTGACTGGCACAGCAAGCACACGTATCTCTGGTCCCTCGTTATTATGTGAAAGCATGCCCCATCAACTGATAAGATCACTCTAGGCCGAAGTCCCAACGTAGAATATATGTCATTAAGTAGTATCATACAGAACAGTGAAGAGCAGAGAACTGAACTTTTACCGGAGTAAGAACTACGAACGTCGTACGCAATAGTCGTTTCGTGAGCTTCTCTAAATTTCTGTGCCCAGCTGTATCTCTGCTGCCGTTAAAATGAGTGGGAGTACAGTTTTCATTTCTAAAACAATCCCCCTTCGTGGTCTTGAACGACTGAAGGAGAACTGCCAAGTGAAGCTACGGGAAGACGAGACCCCGATACCACTGGAGGAATACAAACGATCAGTGGTTGGAATGGATGCGTTGTTCATTCACCCGCCGGCACCGATCAACAAAGAGATTCTGGACTTGGCTGGTAAGTAAATCATTTGCCAAGTGTTGCGTTTTCTTTTGAGGTAATCAGTCATACTTTTCCTATCCCGCTGCCATTTGAGTTCTAGTCCTTTGGCCTGAATCAGTCAAAAGAGCTGGGCATTTGCGACTCCTATTATCTTGTCAATGTTCCTATTTGGAACCCAGAGCTGACTTACTCAAAGTCAAAGGATACTGTTGTTTTCCCCAATAACAATGTAAATATATTCTTAACCCAAACTCCTGGGGCGGTAACGAACCCAATGTTCTTCTCCTGGGGGAGGAGCGCCTATACCTGCCTCAGTGCTGCGACCGCGGGGAGGAGGTGCAGGTGTAGAGAGTGCCATTTATTTTTATATTCCACCAGGAAAGGAGGGGGGGGGGGGATCTTACCGCGTTAGGTCACTGTGACGTGTCACACTGGAAGGAGGAAATGCGCATATATTGATAATAATAACAATGTATGTTCGCATGGCCTAAGCTTGATGCAGTTTCACCAATTTGATATGCATGCCTGGTCGCTTGAACGGGGTTTGAAGTAGGTCAACAGTACAGTTAAACTTTGACAGATAATTTCTTCATGTTGTTTAGCAGAGTGCTTTTTAAGAATTTTTTCTTCGTAAGTGATTTATGGCACGCCTTGTAAACAACATAAATAGTTTTATTGTAACTTTGTAAGTGTCGAGCAGAGTGCTAGCTAACTTAATGACTTACTTGGATCCAGAGCTAGAATCATAGTAGGCGGCACATGTCCATAACTGCTCATCTCTCCTTTCCAGCGTCCACCCCAGGGTACCTAATCTAATGACTAATTAAAAAACAAAAAGGAGAGGAGATTCTTTAAAAAAAAATACTATTCTGGTCAGATGTTGGTCTATTTTTTAGTCATGTAAGTCATTAACCACATGTGAAGTTGCCAGCTTTTGGTTTTGGAAATTGAAGAAAAAAAAGGGGAAGGGGTGTGGTTGGCATGCACTTATTTTCAACCTCAGAATTTTCATGCCTTCTCTGCATGCATGTAATAATAATAATGATAATGATTATGATAAAGTAATAATCTGTACTATTACTCCAGCAGCAGACCTGATAGCATTCTGAAACAATCTCTACTTCCTGGGAAGCATACAGTGCAATTCCATTAACATTAACATAGGCCAACTGACAATGATCTTTCGCTGTATATAGCTAGCTGGATACCCATTTCCACGTGGGTGAAGAGAGGAACATTTCTGTAAAGTGCCTTTCCCAAGGACACAACGTTGGGCCTGCGGCTCCGAACCCCCGAACTCGCAACCACACGATGAGGAGTCCGGTAGCCCATTGTTGCACGATCGGTTCTGTTCGGTTTGATTTGGTAGGCGGGCGGGGCTAGCCAAATTGAGGGCATACGACCATCGTGGGAAAGTCCGACTCGCAGCATCAAAGGACACATTTTAATGCGTTTGTTTCAGTCAGGCTGCGAATCGGGTGATCGTTGGGCGATCGGTTGGCGATCCGACAATGGCCACTGGGTATATAACCGGAGATGTCTAGTCTCCGGTATAACCAATACACTACCGACGCATTTCGATGTGTAGGCCTATATTTATATTATACAGCCTCCCCCCCCCCCCAACACACACCCAACTTGTGAAAATAGTCAACGTTTTTCTTTTGATTTGATTTAATGTCTCCTATCTCCCCCTTTCGTTCTTTCTCTCTCTCTCTCTCTCTCTCTCTCTCTCTCTCTCTCTCTCTCTCTCTCTCTCTCTCTCTCTCTCTCTCTCTCTCTCTCTCTCTCTTCCCCCTTTCCGATTACACACACACACTCATACACACACACTCATACACACACACACACACACACACACACACACACACACACACAAACACACATACACACACACATACACACACACGCACGCATGTATGCACAATACACATATATACAATTTTATCAATTCATTTATCTAATTTGCCCCCACTACACTCGACTTGCCCCCCCCCCCTCTCAACCCCAGGTCCTCAACTCAAGGTAGTGGGCACGATGTCTGTTGGCCTGGACCACGTTGACCTTGAGGAGTGCCGGCGTCGAGGGGTCAAGGTCGGCTACACACCGGAAGTGCTCACCAAGGCTGTGGCCGAAATGACCGTGGGCCTCACTCTGGCTACTGCACGCCGCTATGAAGAAGGTGGGTAGCGATGTTCGGTCGTTTTGTTTTGGTTGTTTTTGCTTGCTTGGGTTTTTTGTCACTGATTTGATCAGTTTGGGCATTCTTGATTTTCATCATCATCATCATCATCATCATCATCATCATCATCATCATCATCATCATCATCATCATCATCATCATCATCATCGCAATCATATACATGTATACATGTAATATGGAAAATACAGTCATTCGCGGAAGGGCCTCCCAAGTTTCCATATATACTATACTATAAAGCTTGCCTTTATTAAAGAAGCACTGGCTCTGGCCACCTGGAAACTCTGCTACTGTCTTGTATGTCACGTGACTCTTCTCAAGCTAACGTTCTGTGGACACGGTTGCAGTGTTGCATGGCCACATCTCTCCAGTAAATAAGTGATTTTCAACACTGTCGGGATATTTAAGAGGATGGACCTCCGAATATAATGTCCAACTCTGCCGACTGGACCAACCCAGTTAATTGTTTGCGAGCCTTAAAAACTCCACGAAACGACCCAAGTCCAACTAGCCGGGGATTCGAACTAGGGTCATTCGCTCTGGGGCCCAGCATGACACTGCCTGAGCAATAGAGTGCCCTTGCCATTTTCTGGTTGGCCAATCGTTTGGATTCTGGACATAGTTGATATTATACGTTTGTGTGTATGATAAGATACTGTGTACTGCCACTGGTAAGCCCGACTTCTTTACTATTCATCCGTTGTTTTTTGTGTCTATGACTTCGTGCCTCCCGTATATTCAAGCTAAATACATAGTACATTTTATGTTCGCTTAGCCTGTTTTGGCGTGTCCTGAGTCTACTAATGTGCGAGATTTTGGAGGGCGCCACTGATAGATCCTGTGTATTTCTTTACATTCCCCCTGCTATGTATCTTTCTTGTCTTTACCATGCTGCAGCTGATTCTCTGTCTGGATATAAAATTCTTATATCATAGGCCTATATACTAATGTAAGCTCATCCCATCGCATCTCCTCTCGTCTCGTCTCATCTCGTCTCTTCTCATCTTGTCTCATCTCATCTTGTCTCATCTCATCTCTTCTCACCTCATGCTTTCTCTTCTCTTCTCTTCTCTTCTCTTCTCTTCTCCTCTCTTCTCCTATCTTATCTTATCTATCTTGTCTTATCTCTCCCAGCAATGCGGTCGGTTCACAACGGCGTCTGGGGCACCAGGTGGGAGAACGCCCTGTGGATGGCCGGACAACAGATCTCAGACTCAGTCGTCGGAATCGTCGGGCTCGGCAGAATCGGTCTGGCCGTGGCTCGAAGGCTGAAAGCTTTCGAACCTTCCCGAATCCTCTACTGCGGGAACTCCCCTAAGCAAGGCGGGGTGGATATCGGGGCCGAGTTTGTCAGCTTTGAAGAACTGTTGTCCGCGTCAGATTTTGTGATTGCGACTTGCGCCATCTCCGAGAAAACGAAGGGTCTCTTTAACGAGAGCGCTTTCAAACAAATGAAAAATAACGCCGTGTTCATCAACGTCACACGGGGCGTGCTGGTGGATCAAGAGGCGCTGTTTCAGGCGCTGACAACCAATCAGATTGCAGCGGCGGGGCTTGACGTCACGACGCCGGAGCCTCTCCCGACCAATCACAAGCTCTTGTCGCTGCCCAACTGCACAGTAACGCCACATCTCGGAAGCGCGACCTCTTCCACCCGTAACGCCATGTGTGACCTGACGGTGGACAACATTTTGGCGGGACTCAGGGGTCAGCAGCTGCCATCTCCTGCCTGTTAGTTAAGTCCTTCATATAGTAGTGAATATAGAATACATTTATTATTCAGTTACCTAACATAAAACAACAATAAATAACTTACAGTGAAATACGCTTTAACAAAAATCTATAGGACTGCCGGATTGTCTGTAGTTCATCTGGGTTTGCGGTTAAACAAAGGTTGCTCAAATTCAAATGAAAAAGAAGAAAAAATCGGGGATTTGCTTTCTTTCCGTTCACTGCTGTTTTCTGTTTAACCGCGTTCCGTTTAAGCGGACTCCACTACAGCGTACTATAGTCTCATTGAGCGGCCCACCATGTATCAACGCACATTCCCTGCATCTGTGGTGTAGTTATTGGGCTCTTCGCTGTTACACACATAAGACTTGGGTTTGATCCTCAAGAGGGG